TGGTGTTGGCTCAAGTGGTGAAGATTCATCTATTATCACCTTGGTGGAGAACATGTGTGTTGAACAACGAGAGCACCACGAAAAGGATTCGCGTAGATGTGACGTGTTTGAAGTCACTCAAGATGAGCACTTTAGATTAGTTCATGAACATTTGGATGCCCAAGATACAAACTTTAACAGGTTTGCATCATATGCCACTCAACAATTTAATGAAATTCGCCAAAATATGTCATTCAATAATGGTTCTGCTCAAACTGATATCAATAACATGATTGGGTTTCAGAATGATGATAATTATCACTATCAATAATTTTACTAAGAGATGTGTGATTTTCTAGATTATCATTATGGTGATCAGGATGGTGCATGGTTTCGGGGATTGCAACCAGAACCTATAGGTGGTCATCAGCATCAAAGAGGTCGTCGTGGTCATGGCCATTAGTTGAGCTTCCATGTGGACTAAGTTTCTTATACATGCATTTACGTTTTCATGTCTTTATGTTTATTTTGTTGTTATATTAAAACCTTTTTATGACAAATATGAATGGATTTTATCCTTTTTGTCTAAACTTGCTTATGTATTTATGTTTAAGCATCATTTTTAATTTGACATAATTCTTTGTGAGTGCATGTTATAGTTGATTCGTTTAATCTTTACAACGCCTCTGAGTGATTTATATGTTGTTATGTATTTTCTTTAATTCTTCTCATGTTTATACCTTTGTGTCTTTTTGATGTTATTAAAGGGGAGGATAAATAAAAAGTCTAATGCACATATTCAGGGGGACCTATGACCAAGATGCCAAATGCTTTGTATGTTTTGTCATCATCAAAAAGACGGAGTATGTGAGTGCATTATCCTCTTAGATATGTTTTTAATGATGTCAAAACTAGGACACTTAGTATTTGTGTATATTGGATCTTGTTGTTTATGTCTAGATGTGCACTATCATATTAATAGATTTTAAATTAGATTAGATAAGTTAAACATTATGATTTTTCATTAAAAAAACAAGTCTATATGTCGATACATCAAGCCTATGAGTCAATACATAATGAAGAATGGTTAAAAACACAACCATGTCTTCTATGAGTCGACTCAATCTGAAAGATTCTTTTAAGCAATATGATTTTACACATCCCTGCCACGTATGTATCTATACATAGGAATCTATAAGTCGATACACTTGGCGAATGAGTCGGCTCCTACTGAAAAAAAATTTAAATCAGTTTTTTTGCCCTCAATGTATCAACTCATTGGGGGCTATGTATCGACTCCTTGCTTTATGTATTGACTCATTTGAATTTAGAGTCAATACATTCAGTTTAATTTTTTTTAAAACTTGTAATTTTTTTATTAAAAATTTGTTATTATATTTTTCTACACACATACATATGAATATGCATTCATGCATCATTTATCACATGTAAACAAAGAATTCACTTAGAATTTTCTCATCATCGTCAACCTTTCTTGCATACATTCAACAACTACATATAATCATTTTTTTAGTGCATCAAGATTAGATTGATAAGGTCCAATTTAGGATTGTTGTAATCAAATTGGGTTGAGTATTCTTTGGGGGTTTTATTGATAAAACTTTTAGGGTTTTACCTCCAAGATCAAGGACTGATTTGAGGGGTTTTGCACAAATATTTGCAACTTGGATTCAACCGAGTGAAAGCTTTGAAGAACATAGGTTTAGTCAAAGGAGTAGCGGTAACTGGAGGATTAATTGAAAGATTTAGGACAAGATTTTGCAATTTGGATTCATCCGATTGAAAGATTTGAATAATGGAGTTGTTGTCAAAGGAGTAGCGGTAATCAGAGGATCAATTGGAAGTCTTTGATGACTTGATCTAGCTTAAGATCAAGGGAAGAGAAGAAGTTAGAATCAACATTAAACATAGGGTTTAAGGGTTTGGATTACTACTTTTTCTTTTAAATATAACTCTTGTATATGTTAATTATATATTTGAATTCTATTTGGAATTGATGGCAGACGTACTAATAGTGAGGATAATTGAGGAACTACCTAAACAAATATTGACTCTCTCTCTCTCTCTCTCTCTCTCTCTCTCTCTCTCTCTCTCTCTCTCTCTCTCTCTCTCTCTCTCTCTCTCTCTCTCTCTCTCTCTCTCTCTCTCTATCTATATATATATATATATATATATATATATATATATATATATATATATATATATATATATATATATATATATATATATATATATATATATATATATATATATATATATATATATATATATATATATATATATATATATATATATATATATATATATATATATATATATATATATATATATATATATATATATATATATATATATATATATATATATATATATATAACTCCATAGCACAATAATAACAACATAAAAATAAAATATCAAGAACACCATATTTTTAACCTAGAAAACTTTCTTAAAAGTGAGGGGAAAAAACCACGAGACTTAGTCTAGTAAAATCTTCTAATATATAAATAATGGGTATACAAAAGTCTTCATAGTAACACTAAGGAATTACAATCTTCACCGATAAACAATAAAGGTGGGAAAACACACTTCAAATAATTCCTCCATAAAATGTGGGTATACCAAAACAACTCTAAGAGAAGGTAAAACTACTAAACAGAAATATAAATAAAATTAACTAAGTGATATAAATAACATACAAAATATGTAGCTCAAATTGACAAGGTTTGCTACACTCATCTATCACTCGTGCCTTTTCCTCTTCTCTACTTTTGTTGTTCCCTGAAACCTTTGTTTTAGTTACTTATTTGTTGTGTTGCTTTATAGATTAAAAAATTTCTTTTAAATACATGCAAAGTGGGTTTGACCCAAATAAAACAATTCACATGAAAACTTTTTCTTTCTTTATTTTTTTCCCATCATTTGTCTAAATAAATGGTGGAACCCATTTTAAGAGCGAATCCTTTACAGGGGGAGAAGTATACTCTCAGAGGAATATAGTATACTCTCTACTCATGTGAGGGGGAGTTTAACCACTATAACTTTTTATCTATATGTTTTTCTTTTACCTTTTTTCTGAGAGATGCATTGTCATCATAAAAAAGGGGAAGAATATGAAACTATGTGTTTGCAAGTTTAATCAAGTTATGCCTAGCCCTGATAACATCATGGTATTGTTGATGACAACTCCTGAAAAGATCTTGATGACAAAGCATAAAGACAAGCAAACTAGGGCCCCACTTTTGTAAAAGCTCGATCCAAACCATCCTCAGAGGCGAAAGTGGAGGTTATGTCAAATGTCTCTTGATCCACCCACACTGAAGAAATATCCCCTTTTGCCTTACAACACATGGTAGGTGAAATATCCATTCTAAAGAACAATGTCAACACAGAAAGGTGAAATATGAAGATCCATTACTCTAATCGAACACACCAATAACAGAAGTTTGAACGACAGAGAGATTAAAAACTCAATATCCAAAAAATCATAAAAATAAGCGAAAGCAAGAAGAAGACATTAAATTTACCTTAAACGAAATAAGTTGGTTATTTGTGCGTATGAAATGCCACCGAACGAAGTTTGCATATGAGTTTAGCCAAGAAACTAAAACATAAGAGCCCATGAGAAAGAACCAAATTGGAAAGACAAAAAGAAGATATTTTACATGTCACGAATGATAGAAAAAAGAAAAATGATGCTTTAAAGATATTTTATATGTGTCTCAACCATCGAGGGTCTTATAATTCACTATGCACCACCAACAATCAAGATTTCATCAAAGATTGTGCAAAATACTCAAGACTCTAAGGAAGATGAAACATCATCACCAACTAGCATTAGGACACACGTAAGTTGTTCCTTATGAAACATTACATAGTATAAGAAATGAATTTAATGTGATTGTTTCTAATGATAGTGATGTCCAATCAAGGCTCTTCATCTCCTCAAACCCATCAATCGGTCTAGGGTATATATACTACAAACATTCGTCCTGCAAAGCAGGGACAAGGGCTGGAGAGACAAATGTTATAGATTGTTCACAAGACCCAGGACAAAAGGCCTAAAGACGGAGCAATGAAACACATGTGAGAAATATATGTTCCTCTACCATCGTCTGAATAAATCAATTCCACCTCTGAATCATTACCAACTGTCCAAATTAATTAGACGGTTGGCCGCAACTCACACTGCACTCTCCGCTTTCGGTTTAAACCGCTTCCACTATAAAAGAGAAAAATCACATCATTCTCAAATATTCAAATTCATTCTCACTCTTATATTATTTTCATTCTCTTATTAACTTGTGCGTTGAAATGTTAACTTTGTCAATCAACCTCTTCTCCACCACATTGAAAGTTCCAAACCTCTATAACAAAACATTGCTTTAGCTTACTAAACACCTTTGATAAAAAAAAAACAAATATCTAACATGAATATTCATTACCCTCTCTATTTAAAAATGACTGTCGTTTAAGGTTTTTGCACAAAGATTAAGGAATACATTGATATTGTCATAAGATATTGTACTTTTACTAAATTAGTCTTATTAATATGTTGAAAATAATGTGCAGAATAATAATTATAGGACACAATTGAAAAAATAACAATTATTACTACATTGAAAAGTAAGAACGTCAATCATTTTAAAATAATTTTTTTTCCTAAAACGACAATCATTTTAAAACGGAGAGAGGATAATTTTATGACCGTTTTTAAACTTAAGTTTCAATTTCTATAAAAAAAATTTACTTCCAATTTTTTTTATTCCATCATTTTTTTAAAAACTAAACATTACAATTAGGAATTAATTAAAGTTTCTATAACTTGATTTGGAAATACATATGATTGATGCAATGGAAAAGTAAAAGTGTGACCGACAGTTAGCTCCAAAATTAGCAAATCCCGATCTCTTACTCTGGTTGATAACTGTTTTCATGAAGTTTATTTCTCGCAGATCGAGAAATTGAACATTCTCGCAACCTTCCTCAATACCCTCACAATGTCACTACCAGATGAGTGTTGGGAATCCATCTTCAAATTCCTCCTCCACGACGGCGACAGCGACGGAAAAGACATCCACCGCTACTTCGAGTCTCTCTCCCTCGTCTCCAAACACTTCCTCTCCATCACCAACCATCTCCGATCTTCCCTCACAATCTCCGATCCCACCCTCCCTTTCCTCCCTCGTCTCTTCCACAGATTCCCCAATCTCACCTCTCTCGACCTCACGCGCATCACCAAACAAACTGATCTCCACGCGCTTCTCTGTCAAATCTCCACTTTCCCCTTCAATCTCAAATCACTCAAAATCTCCAACCAATCCACCATTCCCGCCAATGGACTACGAGCTTTGTCAAAAACCATTCCATCTTTAACATCTCTCACTTGTTCCCACATTGATTCTCTCCATGACAACGATCTCGTTCTTATCTCCGATTGTTTCCCTTTCCTTGAAGAACTTGATCTTAGTAACACTCAAAAAGATGTTAACGTTGTGTTAAACGCTATGGTCTTGGATCTTCCTAATCTCCGCAAGGTTAATCTCTCTGGTCATTATAATATAAACGACTCAATGCTTTTGCATTTGTGTATGAATTGTGAGTTTCTACAAGAGATTGTAATTTTGAGATCCTCATTCATAACACATGATGGTATTGCTTCCTCTATCCGTGAGAGGCCGGGTTTGCAATCTCTCTCGGTTAGATTGTGCTTAAATGGAAGCCATTCAAACTTTATTGACTCGTTGGTGAGTTTAAAGAGCTTAACTTGTCTTGATTTTTCATATTCAACTGTATCGGATCATTTGCTTTCGTCTCTAGCAGATACAGGTCTTCCTTTAAGGAAACTCATCCTCCAAGGTTGTCGGGGTTATAGCTATGTTGGAATCTTTAACTTGTTGTCTAAGTGTCGATTTTTTCAATATTTGGATCTTCAAGAGGCTCATTTTCTGAATGATTTGAATGTTCTCGAGTTGTCGTCGTTTCTTGGTGATTTAGTGTCTATAAACGTTAGTCAATGCATTAGCCTCACAAATTTTGCCTTATTTTCACTCCTTAGGAACTGTGCTTCACTTAGTGAGGTCAGAATGGAATACACAGATCTTGGGAAAGTTAGTGAAGAGAGCTACAGTACCTTGATTAATCCTGTTGTAAACTCTCAATTAAAGTCTCTCTATTTAGCTCACAACAGATGGTTGAGGGATGAACACATCTATATGTTTGCTTCCGTTCTCCCTAAGTTACAACTCTTCGATTTGAGGGATTGTTGGGGCATATCTGAAGAAGGTATTGGTCATATTTTAAGGAAATGTAGTAAGATTAGATATTTGAACTTAACCAACTGTGTTGGACTGGAGATACTTAGAATGAACTTTAAACTTTCTTCACTGGAAGTGTTGAACTTGTCAGAGTGTGGAATTGATGATACATCACTCTATGCGATCTCAAAGAGTTGCTTTGGGCTACTGCAACTTGACTTAGGAGGTTGTTGTGGTATCACAGAGAAGGGAGTGAGGAAAGTCGTAGAAAGCTGCACACAACTGAGAGAAATAAATTTAAAGGAATGTCGTAAAGTGGCTGCTGATGTTGTCGACTCGATGGTATTTATAAGGCCTTCATTGAGAAAAATAACAGCTCCGCCTTATTTTCCTTGTAGTGAAAGCAAGAGGAAACTCTTCTTGCGTCATGGGTGTCTTGTATGCTAAATCGTTGGAAATGCTTTGCTGAAGTTTGGCCTCTAAAAAGTAAGATATTTTATGTTTTATGAGTTACTTCTTCTAGTTTTTTTCTTTGAAAATGCAAACTTAGATCTGTTGTATTTAATTATCACTTTGTGCATCATAATTTCCTTGTAATTGTGTACGGAAATCTTTAAAAAAATAATGGACAATGTTATGCAACTATTTAGGTGTTATACATAGCTATAAGTTGCATTGTTTTTCTTAGCTCTCCCTTGAATTGTATCTCCTGGATTTGATTCTTGTGTCATACGGATTGCAATCCTCATCGGCAACTTAGGTTTTGCTTGCTTGCTGTAGCTCACTATTCTATGCTGTTACTTCTCTGAGTTTACCATAGACACTTGAGAAAATATTCTCTGATGCTTATTCATGCCCATTGGTGTGTGGATCTTATTACACTTACAAGATTAGAAGAAAGATAATCAAAATCAGAACAGCCATTAAACCAATGTGCTCACTGATTCAAAAATCAGGTTGGGATCAGAATCAGACCCAAACGACATCGTTATAATTTTTCTTGCTCGATTTTAAAATTGATCATTGGTTTTATGGTATACCGGTTTGTAGGGTCTTCCGAACAAGACTCAGGTCTGGTCGCCAGACCAACCTGCCGGCCTGGTTTTGATTTTCTTGATTAGAAGTTAGGATGTGTGCTTGACTGAAGGAAACCCCTGGTCAACCTTATAGGCAACAACGTGGTTCATAATAAAATTGATGGTTTGCCAATGCATGCCTTCTAATTGTCAAGAAAGTTCCATGGAAATTGAGAATCGACATCTTTCTGTTGATGAAAAGTAGTCATATTGTGTGAATATCTTACCATGCCAGGGATAATGTTTATATTTCTTGTTGTCTTTGTTGTGAAATTATGCTTTGTTTAATATTGATTTTAGAAAGTTATTGACCAACTATTTTTTTATATTTTGCTTTGATATGAGCGACGGATTAGTTTTAATTTTGTCAAGAACAAGATGAAATCCAATGATAAAATGTATTAGCAGCCTTAACCCTTGCACAATGTTGAATTCAAATTAGTTAAAATGTATTAGAAAATCTTTTGTTTTGAATTACATGTCAAGCTGTTGAATATTCTATTTGCAAATCTAGAATGAAATTAGCGGTAAATTTCAGTATTTGGATAGAAGTACCAAAATTACTTGAAATTTGAAAATTCACATCATAGATTTTGTAATTTAATAATAAGTTTATAAGTATGATTAAGGAAAGTGAATATGATCCAGAAATACCTTTACAGGAAGCTGCTGAGGTTTAGGTGATAATGGCTGCCCATCTTTACCTTTTACATCTGACAGGGGGAATGCTAGTTGGTATGTTAGAACATTTCTCAAGTTGAGATCATTTTTTTTTCTTTTCAAGGGTGTTGTATTAGATGATTGTTATATGAATGGTTTTATCAAACAATTTAATTAATCATAATAAAAGTGCTGAATAACTTGAATTAGTACATTTTGCAATCTACTCTGTCTTAGCTGATGGAGGGTCTTCTCTCCATGGCCATATTGATGCAAGATGACAATGTGTTTTTGTTTGAGAACTTGTTGTGTTTGGTTTTATTGGTCTAAACTTAAACTATGAGTGTTGGATCTAATAGTTTTCTTTTATATATCTCGTGGTGAAATTCAATATGCTTTTTTTCATGATGTTTCTCCTTCATTATCTCTGCAGTCCACAAAAGTTAATATATATATATATATATAGACGCAATATAAAAAAGCCTTTTTCTATTGTGTGCTTTTTATTTTATGTATGTCAAATTCCTAGTACTCTTGTTCTTTATGTCTATGAATCCATGGAAGTTCTCTGTCAATTCTTTCAACAGCATTAATTTTTACAGTATTAATTATTGAAGCTGAAAAATTAATTTTATCAAATTAAATTTATTAAGTATTGATACTTTCACTATTACCATATATGAAAGTGTAAGATATTGACTTGGAAATGATGCACATATTAGTTATGGGGTATAATAAAAAAAAGTATACTGCATTAAAAATTAAAATTGACACTCATTTTATTTTATAATGTTGCTCATTGTGGAACGAAATGAGTTTATACCAAGGTTGTCAAACTCGCGAGTCTACTCAGACTCGTTTAGGGTCTGTAGACTCGACTCGCAGACTCGACTCGCAAACTCGTACGAGTCTTTGGAAAATTATAAATGACATTCAAAAACCTATAATTTACACATATGTGGCAGACTCCTGTGTTCTTAAACTTATAAATGCCTCGTATATGACACAAATGAAATAACAACACTATTTGATTTTCCTTTTCTATTATTCAACTTTAAATTCTACATGACATAAACCAAATTATTTACCTCTTTTTGATGCAACATATTCTCTTTTTATGAACCTAAAATGTAAATAATAATTTAACTCAATGTTTCTAAAAATATTAAAATCAAGTCTATAAACAAACAAATAATAATTCATTGTCATTTCAAAGAAATTCCAATTATGTTCACAACTAGAAGAGCTATAAGTTAAGCTTAGAACACAAATTACAAACCTCTTTAATTATAGAGTCATATCTCCGTAGAAACTCACTCTTTAGTAGGTAACATATCCTTCCTAAACTATTTTCTGTCATAAATCATAAACTTTCTAAACTATTTTGTCACATGCAAATTGATACATGTGCATTGGGATCATTGGACCTGATTGGACAATGGTGCACCACCTTTACACAATATATCATACACGAGAAGCATCAAATTGAATCATATAAGAAAATACTTACAAAATAAAGGATTAATTTACGTCCATGAAGACGAACAAAGAAAGAGACAAAATAAACTCACGTCGTTGATGAAGAGAGAGATACTTTCTAATTATCGTACAAGAAAAAAAAATAAGGGTGTTTTTTAAATAAAATAAAATCTTTTGGGGAATTTAGGCCTTTTTTGGTTTTAAAAAAATTCAAAAAAAAATCTTATGGACTCGTAAACTCATTATAGACTCGCGATTCTATACGAGTTTGTGCGAGTCTACCCGAGTTTACTCGAGTCTATCAAAAAAAGATTCTATGTATGAGTCTACTCGTTTATGCTTCCTAGACTCGTAAGTCTACCCGCGAGTTTGACAACCATGGTTTATACTATATATTATGTCATTAAAATAAATAAAAATACTTCCAGATGTGTTTTTTTCTTTTTGAAATTACTTTATGCAAATGTTTTTTTTTTAACTCTAAATTACTTTACTTATTTAAAAATTGCGCTCATGAATTGAATATTGATGTACCCGATGTAGTTAGTCGTTGCACATTCATAAATGTCTAAAAAATGGATAAGGTTTGGCTCCCATGTAGAAAAACCACATTTAAATTATGGTTGTTCTTATGAAATTTTCTGGCATGTGGGGTGATGAAGTAAATCATGGCACCCCACCACAATTCAAAAAGTCTCTAAAGTGAATATTACAGATCACCTTAACATATGATGATTGATGATGCCTACCTAACAAGCAAAAGACTTTCTAGAAATTCATACTTTCAACAGGTATTAGGCAAATACAATACAAGAGCCTCCACTACTTGATGAGACTCACTTTTTATCTCATCATAATCCAAGATTGGTTCATTATGTAGTTGAATGATTAAGTCATTAAATTTGTTGATCCTTCCCATCTTTCTTGAAATCACCTTTTGCTTCTTGTTCCATGCTTGTGTTGCTGCAAATCTTGTTTCTCTCTACTAGTTAGATCCATATTTTGTTTATATCATTATGTTAGTGAAAGATTTTCCCGAAGGATGTTGGGAATTAATATTCAGATTCCTTGGCCAAGGAAATGATTTGGAGTCTGTTTCTGTTGTCTGCAAGCAGTTCCTTTCTATTACAAACCGGATTAGAATTTCTCTAACAATACGTAATCCGACCATTATATTCCTTCCTCGGCTACTCTTGAGGTTTTTAAGGCTCAAAGTCATAGACCTCAGTCACTTCACTTGTGAATTAAAAGGCTTGCTTCATCAAATTTCACAATCTGGGCTGAACCTTGATTTTATTAATCTTTCCAACCAGAAAACGCTTCGTGTGGATGGGTTGCGAGAACTTGGTTCAAAGATGATAAACTTAAGAGTTTTGATTTGCTCAAACATTGGTTCTCTTTGTGATAGCCATCTAATAATCATAGCTTATTGTTTCCCATTCCTTCAAGAGCTTGACATTAGCTTTCCATTGGACTCTGAAGTATCGGATTTTGGGATACTAAAGTTATCTACTATGCTTGAGAGTCTAAACAAGATTGATCTTTCCGGCAATCACTTGGTTACTGATAAATCCCTTTTGTCTCTATGCCAGAATTGCAGATCATTAGAAGAAATTTCATTTTTCACATGTTTTAAGATAACACAATTTGGAATTGCTTCTGCATTCCGAATGAGACCATCTTTGGCTTCCATTTCCTTCAACATTGAAAAGAAAAGAATACATGGACCTGGTTTGACGCCCGTGCCCATTAACGTGGATTTGATCGATTCGCTCGCTAGTTTGAAAAGATTAAATGCTGTTGATTTGTCAAACTCTTTTATCTCAGACGAGTTTCTTATTTCACTTGCAAACAGTGCTGGTAATTTTCTGAAGAAGCTTATCCTCCATGATTGTTGCAACTTTACATTTTCAGGAATCTCTTATGTGTTGTCCAAATGTCAATATACTCAATGCCTAGATCTTCGAAAAGCCGACTTTCTTACAGATCAATGTATCAAGAAGTTATCTATGTTTCTTCTTAACTTGACCTCTATAAACCTCAGTGGGTGTTGCCAGCTGACAAACTCAACCTTTTTCATTCTCACGAAAAATTGCCAGTTACTCAATGAGATCAAAATGGAGAGAACATATATTGGGGTAGATGGGGAGGAAGATTTCAATTCCATGACCGATTTTGTCATCAACCTTCAAGTGAAAGCGGTTTATTTCGGTGATAATGTTTTACTGAATGATGTAAGTTTATCAAAATTTTCTTCTATTTGTCATAATTTACAATTTCTCGACTTAAGTGCTTGTGAGGCCATCTCTGAAGAATGTGTTGTTGAGGTTATGGAGAGATGTAGTAAGATAAGGCATTTAAATCTCTGCTATACAGGAATTGAAAAGTTTCAGATAAACTTTGAAATTCCACAATTAGAGATGTTGAATTTGTCAGGGTTGAGAATTGAAGATGAAACATTGTTCATAATCTCGAAATTGTGCATTGGACTATTGTCTCTGGACATCCAAAATTGTTGCTATATCACAACTAAGGGTGTGAGGGAAGTAATAGAAAATTGCAGAGGATTGAAAGAGTTAAATTTAAAGAACTGTCAATTGGTGGATAACGATTTTGTATTTATGCAAACTCTTACAAAGCCATCTTTGAGAACAATAATCACACCATCTGGTGTTGATGTTTATTACTGAATAGAAGTAGAAGAATTTGAATGTGGCATATATCATATCTTGTTTGTTATGTGTTGTATTTTTTAATAATGAAAGCCTTGTGTGTGTGGATTGCATTCTTGTGAGGAAAGAAGTTTCAAATGTTTCTCTCTGTATATGCTTGTTCATGTGTGTTCCATTAACTAAAAATTAGAGACTACAAATTTATACTATTTTATAAATATAGTTTCCAAATGGATAGTGACTAGACAAACAAAATATTTGCATGTTGTAGATTTAGTAGATGGTTACCTCAACTGTTGGGGGTACAAAGGCCAGGGACATTAAAAACCGCAGTGCATCTAAAATACAAGGAGTAAATATTTTAGTTTCACACGGTTCTGTTTTTGAAGAAAACCGAACTGAACTAAATCGATCTTGTAGTGATTCATTGAGAATCGAATTGAGCTATCTTTTAGTTCATTGTTTATTTATTGACTTCTGTGTTTTCATTTTTAGTAAATTCTGTTATATTGGACGTTTAGACTTTGAAATTGAAATAAAGAATACCCTCAGAATATTTTTTTAATGGAATTAATTTCCCTAATCTCGAGTGATCTTAAGTGGTGGAGAAGTATCTTAAGAAATTTGAGTGTATTTTTAAATTCAAAAGTGTATTTTCGAACACGCTATTTTTAAGTCAGATTACATTCTAACTAAGTTTCACCCTACTTTTTCGCCAAAATATAATTTAGAAAAAAAATATATATTCGGACATGCTATTAAGGTTTTTTTTTTTTTTTTTTTTTTAAATTTAACCACTCAATAACAAATATGAAAATGTATCTTCGAAATTGTGAAACAGAAATTTAAGAACATGTCACATTTGCATGTCAGCCACAATTCTGAAAATGTATTTTTGGTTTTTCTAATTTAACCACTCAATGACAAACTTGAAAATGTATCTTTTAATTTGTGAAATGGAAATTTAAAAACATGTCACCTTTGCATTTCAACCACAATTTTGGAAATCTATTTTTGAAATTGTCAAATGTAATTTTTAATAAAACAATACATTGCATGCTCTTCTTCTTGATGACCAAACTTTCATTTTCTCTCAAAAAAAACTTTTAAAAAAATTTCATTATGAATCAAGTTTTGCATTTCAAAACTTAATTATTGTGTTTTATCACATCAAAATAAACAAAGAATATAAAATTTAAGTAAATTTCACGTATTTCATCTCACTTTAATTTGGTTTTTGAGTTGAAAAAATTACGTTGAATTCGGAGACGCACTTTCAAATTTAAGATGGGTTCATATGAAAGTGCATTTTTGGAATAGTTCAGAGTTTATTTTAAACTGATTTTTTATATAATATAAATATATTTAAATACAAATATAAAATTTAAAATAATTTATTTAATTATAAAATGAATGTTTATTAATTATAAATTATTATATAAAAGTTCAGAGTGAGACAGGTATTATCTATATAAACATGTATTTTTTATATTATTATATAAAAACGGATATCTATAATTATAAAATGTATATTAATGTTAAACTAATACATATTTAATATAAGTGTTTGTTTATTTTTAACAGTAAATTGTTTGAAAACTTTTTATGTTTTAAAAAAATGCAGGACAAAGGTACATGTGTTTACATATCTATAGGGCACGGATATTAACTTTGGCACTCAAGCGGATATGAACTCAAGTACGGTGATTTTTTTCAAATCATGAGTATGAAAATTGATACTATAATACTTTACCTAAATCCTACCTATTGCCATCACTAATCAAATTTGAAATTGAGTGAATTAGTAGACCATTTAACATGCATATACATATAGAAAAATTAAAACCAAAGTAACTAAAGATGTGAGACATACCCATTTCTAAATATGCATAATCAAATTGTCCAGACAGAAAAGGATTCCCCAACATCACCAACACCTACACATTTTCAATGCTAAATCATTTCAAATAAAGAACAAGAACACCTACACATTTTCAATGCTAAATCATTTCAAATAAAGCACAAGAGAAGCTGCAATGCGGACCTGCCAACTCTAAATTACATTCCTATAAAATTGTAACCTTATAAGTCAAAACTGAAAGTCGCGACTCATTAGAAGTTGGAACCTTACAAAGTAGTAATAGTAGTCATAAACAGCGAGCTTAAAGAATAAATACCTAAACTACTACCGAGTATCATATAAAGTAAGCTTTTAGTTTCTCATTATTAAAGAGTTACATAAAAACTTAAATAAGTGAATTTAAAAACAGAAAACATCTTACTTTTAAGAGTTGAGAACTGTTTCATAATACTAACAAAGGAGACATCCATGAGTCAAGCTTTCCCTCTCTCCATCATTGAAGCGATATCGAGGTGGAACAATAATCTTTTTCAACGTTGGCCTTGAAAATATCATTGAAGCAACAACATTAGGATGAACTTTGTGGCAGTCTTTCAAATTAATCTCTCTTAGTTGTATGCAGTTTTCGACTACATATTTTGGTCCCGAATTTGAGACATAATAACAATTTTCAAGTGACAGTTGTAAAAGCCCACAACAACTCTTTGAGATGACATAGAGTTCTGCATTATTAACTCCCGTATGTGACAAGTTTAAGACCTCCAATTTAGGAGCTACAAAGTTCATTCCAAGTAGCTTCACTTTTGAACAGCGGGCTAAGTTCAAATACCTAATTTTATGACATTTCTTTAGTACTTGACAAATACCTTCAGATATCTTATTGCAATAACTTAAATCGAGTAGTTGCAGATTGGGGAAAATGGAAGCAAATATTATAACGCTTTCATCACTTAGCCATGTATTGCCAGCCAAACATAGAGTCTCCAAACATAGAGTCTCTAACTGAGGGCTTAGAACCACTAAAGAATTAGAATTATCCACGCTATTTTCCCACCAACGTGGATATGGACATTCCATTTTGATATTCCTAAGTGAAGGACAGCTCCTAAGGATGGCAAACAAATTTGAACAATTGTCTGTTTTATTGGTAAAATGTAAAGATCTAAAATTTGGTCTCTCACGGAGAGCAGAAACAATACCAGCATTGGTGATGTTAAAACAATCATATATGATCGCCTCTTGAAGAAACTTGCAGTTGTAGAACAAGTGGAAAAGACATTCGTCGGTCATGTAACGGTGACCAGAGAGATCAATCTTGCCAAGTTTGGAAAGTGCCAATGAAAGAGTATTTATCCCATCAATGAAGTTATCTTCAGAGTTGAATATTGCAATTCTACCGAGATTGAGTTCTTCGAGCAAAGGAAAACAATCGGCAATTAGTAACATGTCAGAGCTCCTTATAGAATTCATCAGGGAACAATTGAGAGATGTCAAAGTTCTAACATTTTGAGAGAAAGCTCGCAACCCATCTGCAGGAATGATGTTTTGGCCGGAGAGATCGAGGGATTTGAGTTTCAAAGAGAAACTGGAGATTTGATGAAGAAACGCGTTGCGATCACTACCTTTGAAGGAATTGGGATCACGGTAGAAAGAACGGTTGAGTTTGAGGGATGTGATATTGGGAAATCTCTGAAATAGAAGATGGATGAACGGGAGTATTTTTGAGCCAACAGCCGCGGAGAATCGGAGACGGTTGGTGATGGAGAGGAACTGTTTAGAAACTAGGGAGAGAGAGTTTAGGTAGCGGTTGCATTTGTCGTCTTCATGGTTGTTGAGAAATTTGAAAACACATTCCCAACAGTCATCAGGTAAATATAGATCTCCCGCCGCCATTATGTTTTCCGATACATGTTACTCCGGCCAACCACGATAATGGTTGTAGCGCTATTAAGGATGGACAGATTTTAGGGCTTACCTAGGTTGGAAACATTGAATATATATATATATATATATATATATATATTAATTCATAGATTTCAAAATTTAATTTATTAAAACAAAATCTATTATACCCATAAATAAATTAAAAATATATTTGAAATCACTTATTTAAATGAAATATATATATATATATATATATATATATATATATATATATATATATATATATATATATATATATATATATATATATATATATATATATATATATATATATATATATATATATATATATATATATATATATATATATATATATATATATATATATATATATATATATATATATATATATATATATATATATATATATCGTGGTTATATTAATTTGCAGCTCTTGTGTTTGTAGAATTTTGCACGGGAACAATCTAATTGGAACTATACGGAAAGAATTGTGCATGTTGAAATCTCTCCAGGTGTTGGATTTGGGAATGAATCACTTAACTGGACCAATTCCTACAGAGATTGGAAATTTAACTCTACTTGTGAACATGTAAAAGAAATTCAATATTCTAGTTCTTATTGGAAATTATTTCCTCTCCTGCAGTCCAATGGGTTGACTGGTATATTACCTCCTGAGCTTGGAAATTTGAGATACCTTCAAGAACTTTGGCTCGATAGTAACAGGCTTCAAGGACCCATTCCTGCTAGTGGCACTTATACTTTTGCTTCAACTATGCATGAAATGTAAGTGTAAATTTTGTAATTGAGTTGTGTTATACTAATAATTGAGAGAAGGCTTGTTAGTGTTTCCTTGGATGTCACTTACAAACATTTCTTTATAGTTGATTAACTCACATAAGAATTTGTGTTCTTTAACCAGATCTAGCATTATGATATTTACTGTTAAGGAGATATATTGGGTAAAGACAAAATTTGGATAGGGTGATTTATTTTTTGGTAATGATAAATGTCATGTTTTCAGTGTATTTAGTAGCCTTTCAATGTACAATAGGATTTTTGATTGGGGTCTCTAAAAACTGATGTGGCTAAAAATCATATAGTCGAGTTCGGTATTGAGTATACAATGTCAAGTTATTACACCAATCAAAGTTTGGATTCTGATCCTCGTATACGTCACTTATATGTATTTGAGTGATATTCTTATTTCTTCTTTCTTATTATGCAGATCCTTGAATGTCTTGTTCACAAATCCAATATGGGTTCACTCGTATGCAGGTGCATTATTTGAATATTTTTCATAAACTTTGCATTCTTAAAACTAGCTAGCCATTTTCCGTTTTTGTTGATGTTACTACAAATCCATTGTTTAATGCATTGTCAATTAGTATTGACATTATATATTTTGATTCTAGACACATACTCAAGCAGAAAGAAAAATCATGGACGAAAAGAAAGAAGCTTTACGGAAGGCTGCTTCTGAAAGTAGCTTAGCAGGTTCGACATTGGAAGACAAATTAACAGAACTGAATTCAACAAAACCTCGACCATTTGGGACTGTACATGCAGTAAGTCTGTTGCTCCTTTTTTCCATATTGTAAAGTGAAAACTTAAGTTACCTTTTGCAAGTAACAATCATGATCTTTCATGGTGAAGTTTAAATTTGTTTTACCATAAGAAATGAATACTACGCCAAAGGATGTCAATTCACATAGCAGTTACATGAGAGCTTTCCTTTGTGTCGATGCTAATGTGACGTTTTCATTTGATGAAAAGGTTAATGAAGTATATAATGAAGCTGGTATAGTTGGATTTTGGAAGGGTGTCATCCCTGCTCGAATTATGGTTAGTCGTACCAATTATCTTGTTAATATATTCAGTTTAGTGTTGCCATCACGGGAAATATCGATTTCTTCAAATTCTGCTTATATTTTTGCTAGGTCATTTGTTTTTGCTCAAAAATGTCATTTGTGTTTTACGATTCAAAAAATTGGTTTTCCAATTCAGGATTCGAAACTGGATTTGATAACTATGTGGATCCACTATCCAACTGTGTGGGATGCATTTCTGGTGTTTCATGTTCCTGTGAGACTGATTCCTCCACTGGTCCACGACCAGTATTTATAACTGTTTTATTATGTGATCTCCGATTGGCATCCTTATTTTTAATTGGAGGTGGTTGTAGTGACCAAAAGTTATATTGACAATATTTTTTTATACAACCTCAACATTATAATCAGAAACCTAGTATGGATCCTTTCCCTCCGTCCGTTATTATTTATAGTTTCGGTTTCTAATTATTCCAATTCTCACTTTGGTGCATGCAGATCTTATGCCTTAGCTCCTGTTTACGAAGCTGCCACAAAGCCCATTGAAGAAGGCACTCAAGCCAACACGATAAAAGCTGAACCAGATGATAATGATAGCAAAGAAGTAATTCTTCCCGGAGTAAATCTTCTTTTTGATGGTTCTGAGTTGCACCCGTTTGACATAGGTGCCTGCCTCCAGGCACGTCAACCTATTTCCTTAATAGCAGAAGCAGCAGCTGCCTCAGCATCTTTAGTAATCAAATAGTTCTACAGTTGCTATAGACTAGAGCATTGTGATATCTCTACATGCATGGCAATGGTAGGGATTGCTAGGGCTAGTTTGTTTTCATCTTCAAGCTTGTTGGGTTCAGAAGGAAGGTTAGTTTCATTTTTTGCTTGCATATATTTTACATGTTGTCTCACCATTTTAATGATTGTAAAATGCATTCAATGTTCAACCTTCCAAGTATGCCACAGATTTATCACTGTTGTCTTGAGGCTTATTGGCCCTGGTTTTCTATTTGAAACAAGGATGAATGAAGTGATGCCTTACTAACAGCCTGCTGAAACCTACTAACAGCCCAAGCATCATGAAACTTAACACTTCAAACCGCTAACAGTTAAAACATACATCTGAACCACATTCCATGACAGTTCAAACTAATTTCAAAATACACAGTAGAAAAATTAGCACACTAACTCTGAAGAAAAGACTAAATGTTTCTGTCATGACTTAACTCACCTCATTCGCCATTCTCACTTCATTATTTTAAACTCATAACAAAGTTTTGAATCTTACCATTCCATTGTCGGCTCCGACTCCCTCGGTTGCTTCGACTCCATCACCTGCTCCGAATCCATTGCCAGTGCGGGCTGCACCGGTCCCGCTGACTGCACCCATTTTGCGGACTGCGCCTGTGCCGCAGGCTGTACCACCATTGCAGACTACATTGTCATCTGCACCTAATCATGCCTCTACCTCTGAGGTATTTAGGTTTATGCAGACTACATTGTCATCTACCAGTTGGAGTCATGAGGTCAGTGAAAGCTTAAAACCTGTTATGTTATTGGATCAGTTAAATGCTAGCTGGTGATAATGTGTTATTTAATTTGGAACGTAATATGTGAATTTAGAAACTAAGTATGGTGTTAGTTGTGTTGAATGTTGAAATGTGAATTGGCTATTAAGTTTGGATTGGTGAAATCTATTACTGCGTCTGCATATAAAGGTTAAACTGTTATCACTATGAATTAACTTTTAGTTTAAAACCTATTAGGAGTTAGTGCTACATGTTGAAAGTTAGTTGGGCTTGATTGTTAAACAACATTGGGTTATTTTGTGTGAAAACTAGCTGATGCGAAAACAGGTTAGAGTTAGTTTTGGATGAAAAGATACTGTGAGTCAAGTTATGTGTTACAAACTGTGATGCACATTATATATATGACAGAAGAATAGTCCTGGTACTTTCCTAAGTAGTCAAGTATGTGTTACAAACTGTGATGCACATTATATATATATGACAGAAGTTGTATGCTTGGGAAACCAGCTTTAAGAATTCTATAGAAGTATTAAGAAATGAAGAGCTTAAATGGTTGTCTGCAGTGCAATTGAGAAGGGCATACAACTCATTTCTCTTTTGGTCATCACTTGGTTTGGTCTCGGCTGCTACGTTTGGAGCGTGTTATTTTCTTAATGTTCCTTTGCATGCGAATAATGTTTTCACTTTCGTGGCAACATTACGCCTTGTTCAAGATCCGATTAGATCCATTCCCGATGTTATTGGGGTGGTCATTCAGGCAAAAGTTGCATTCACTCGGATTTTAAAATTCCTCGAGGCACCTGAACTGCAGAGTGAAAGTGTTAGGAATAGGTTATCTGATGGCAATATAAGGGAATCAATTTCAATCAAGTCTGCTGAATTTTCATGGGAAGATAGTAATGTAACAAAGTCAACTTTGAGAAATATAAACTTGGAAGTCAGCTCTGGACAAAAGGTCGCGATTTGTGGAGAGGTTGGCTCAGGGATGGCTGCTAATATTGGTCAGATATTGCAAAACTCGTGGATGGCTGCTAATATTGACAATCCTAAAGTCAGCACTCTGAGATTGATTCTAGTTTACTTGTTGATTGGAGTTACTTCAACAGTGTTCTTATTCATGAGAAGTCTTCTTACAGTTGCTCTAGGTCTTCATTCTTCGAAGTCTTTGTTTTTACAGCTACTAAACTCCCTTTTTCGTGCACCTATGTCGTTTTATGATTCCACACCTTTGGGACGGATACCCAGTAGGGTTAGCATGCTAAACATTATTTATTTTCTGTTTTTCATCGAAGTTTAACGCAAAGAAAGGGAACACAAATACTTATGTTTTGACTGTTATTTGGTTGTTTAGGTCTCTTCTGATCTTAGCATTGTTGATCTTGATGTTCCATTTGGCATTCTTGTTGCTGTAGTTATGTCACAGAAAAGAAAGTGATGCACGTGATTGAAAACTGCACACAGGTGAAGGGGGTTGATTTGACAAATGCACATGTTTCTGATGTTGTGCCAATGGTTTTATCAAGGCATTCATCAAAGAGAAAACTCTTCTCACTTTAGGGATGTCTTGTTTTGCTAGTTATCAATGTCTTGTTTTCTAAAGTTTTAATTCTGTTTTTAGATTTGTTTCTATAACAAATTACTT